GATAGTGAAATTTTGTTCCTGGGAGATTTTGCTGAGAACTACAAATTTATAGTTCAAGATGAGATCCAGAGTTATCATTGGAATACTTCACAATGTACTTTACATCCAGTGGTACTCTACTTTAAGCTTGAAAATGCAATGCAAAGTGAATGTTTCTGCATTATGTCGAGTGACAACTCACATGATGTAGCATTTGTTTATATGGTACAGAAAAAAATTATTGAGGTAATCAAAGCTACCTTGCCAAACAAAAAATATTGAGTATTTTACTGATGGTTGTGCAGCACAATACTAGAATTATAAGAACTTTGCCAATTTGTGCAACCATCAGAAAGATTTTGGGCTCAATGCAAAATGGAATTTCTTTGCAACAAGTCATGGTAAACAACCATGTGATGGCATAGGTGGGACAGTGAAAAGGATAGTGTCAAAAGAAAGTCTCCAAAGACCAACTACCAAACAAATCCTTTCCACAGAATCTATGTTTGAATATTGTAAATCTGCAATTGAAGGTATCAAATTCATTCTGGTTGAAAAGGAGGAAGTGAGGAGGAGTCTGACCATGAGATTCAAAAATGCATCCACAGTCCCAGGAACAAGAAGTTTTCATCAATTTATTCCACTCACCAGAGATAAAATAGCTATGAAAACTATGACCTAATATATGACTTTTCTATTGGGACTGAAGAAAAACCAGTAAATTCTTTTGTTTCAGGATATGTTTGTTGCAAGTGCAACAATAAAATTTGGATTGGCATGGTCCAGGAAATTGATATGGAGAATAAGGACTTGCTGATTAAGTCCATGTGCACTGTTGATTTTCCTACAACAAATGGTAGAGTTTATCATTTGTGCAAGATGGATAAAATCTCTTTGCAAAAAATTATATCCAAAACAATTTAGTCTATATGCACAACAAAATTTAGTGCATAGTGTAGTTTAAAATGTAATCTTTTAAAGACTTTTTGTATATTCATTTTTATTATGATTTTCTTCTGATTGAAACAAAATTCAAATATTTATGTTTCATGAAAATAATTTTGAAAAATTATTTAAAAAATGAAAATTTAAAAAAAGTAATGAAAGCATTTCCTTCAACTATATAAATATGTTAAGTGCCAACTTCAAATATTGTTTTAAAGATTCACATTAATCTTGTGACTTTTTTGAGAATGAAAAAATCAAATGTTTTTTTTGTTTCATGAAAATAATTTACCAAAATAAAATTAAAAGAAACACAAACAGAAAGAATTTCTTTTAACTCCATTTGTTAAGTGCCATTTACAAATTTTCTATGCACTGTTGGTGAGGCAATGTTTACCGCTTTTTAAAGACAATCTATCTGTACAAAAAGTAATATCTGCAAAATATATTTAAATAATTTTTTTTTAAATTAATAAAAACAATCTTATTGAATAGTTTAAGAAGTTACTTAGCACAATATCAACATTTTAGAGGTCATGGAGCATTAGGATGATTGTCTTTAATTATAATCTTTTTCTGTGACGAACATTAGGTATTTGTCTGGACATCTAAGAACTTTCTGTATTTCAGGTCTCCTAAAGCATGTATGTGCCCCAGCGTCAGCTACCACGGCAATTTGGTGGTTGCGAAGGCTAGTTAGCCCCATGGTGGTGTACCCAAATTCAGCATGGGCTTCTGGAATCACAGTTACTTCTATCGTCAATGATGGTAGTGGATCCAGACACTCCCCACCCCCCAATTTTTTCCTGTTCCAAATGAGGTGAGGCACAAACTTTGGTTGTGCCAAATTGACTTTCCCTCCTCCATTTACTTTGCCTGAATTGCTGTGTGCCCTTTGGTGGTGAGAACATGATATTCCTGTTTTGTCATGCTTGCCATCAATCTGTTGGCAGATCCCTTTTTGGGTCTCTAGAACACCCTCTCCCTAATTAATCCACAATTAAAACATACCAACCTAACCACTGGGCAGCCCTTCTGATCCAGTGATCCACTGGGATGTGGAGTCCTTTCACACCTACTACAGTCAAGGAGGTCTAACTTTCTGGGACTTTTGCATGCAGTCTGACCTTTGCACACTGGATAATGTAATGAGGTGTATAGTGTTGTAAAGATACGGGGTCAACTTGCCTGCTGTTTCTAAGCTGACTAACCTGTCGAATTTCTACTCTAGATTGGTGAGGGTGGAGGCCTCCACCAATATTTGGCTCTGGTGTTCAATATTAGCAAGTCCTGCTACCATGTCACTGGGATAATTCACTTGCCAACTGCAGTTCGTTTTGTTTGGGCAAGTAACTATAAAATCACAAAATTTGGCCAGGGGTCATAGCTAAGCTAAAAAAATGTGTGATTTACTCCTCCACTTTCTGCCTTATAGAATGAAAGTTCTGCCTGTGTACTTCTTTGTGCAACCTCCTGACAGCAACAAGCCATATTTACCATAACAGCTGTTCTTCTATTGTAGAGTCAAGTATTTCAGCTCTCACTAGGTTGAATAGCAGCCTGTTCACCTCTGGGACATACGCCATCCTCAGCTTGTTTCAGACAGCTACTGGGTCTGTTAGTTCACATATCTCTTTATAATGGCTCCGTGTGTCAATAAATATCCCCCAGTCACTGTCTGTTGCATATGGTCCTATCGTAGGTTGCTTCGGTTTTGGGCTGGACAAAGTCCTTCCTTTTGTAGTGCAATGATTTCTATTTGTAATTCAACAAATTGTTGCATACGCTGCAAGTATTGTCAGTCCATAGCTGGTTTGGTTGGTTTGCTTTACGGCATATCAACCTCAATGAGTTATTTAATGCCAACAAAATTTTCATTGTTGGTAATATTTTTTCCTTCCAAAATCTATTTCTGGTAATAATTTTCCTTCACTGGTAATATGTTTTTCAAAAATGTATAGCTGGTAATATTTTTTTTCAAAAATGTACTGTTGGTAATATTTTTTTTCAAAAATGTACTGTTGGTAATAATACTTTCATAGTGTTTTGACCCCAGTTTGGGGGTTAACTATTTGCTTATAGCTGGGTCCCTAATAGGTGCTACAACCCTGGGACAGGATGTACCTGGGAACACCTGCAATTAAGAGGTGATTCCACACTTCTCAAAACCTCCTGATCAGAGGCCTTGCTATTGGACGTAGTTTATCATCTTACCCAGGACACAGATATAGTTTATTGTCTTACCCAGGACACTCCATAGCTGGTTTCGCTTTCATGTTTCAAAATCGTAAATATGAACATTGTTATTTTTTACAGTTCTTAAAAAAAAAAATCCTTTCGGCGACACCAAGTAGTGCACAAGTAATGGTTGTTCAACTGAAGGCTTCCTGCCAGCCTGGTTTATACTTGCGTTGTTTTTGCACATGGTTGGTTTAGTCCATTTCATGGATGGGTTACTGGTGTTGTTCTTACGGATATCCCTCTATATGATACGGCTGCCTGCCCTACTCTACACCACTCACTTTTCACAGGTGACCCTTACTTTGGCAAGTGTGGAAAAATTATCGGAATTACCTGCACTTATGAGGCGGCTGTCGGATATAAAAACCGAGTGGTTGACGGATTCTAGTTTATCAAAGTGAGGCTGCACTGAATTTGTAATCTTTTGTTACCGCAAATGGTGGGATGCGCAGGTCTGCTCTTTGTTATTTAAGGTCTGCCTTTTTTTCCTTTTTTCTATCTTTATTTTTAAGGACATTACAGGATGAGAGTCATTTTGCATACTCTTTTCTATTATTTGATCCCTGTTTAAAATTGGGCTGTGAGACTAAAAGTGTGTTTCACAACACTTACTGCCAGACTGACTTTGATCACCCTTGAGTCAAAGAAATTTTCAACACAAAGCTCAGCAAGTGTTATTCAACATCTGGAGTCAATGTTTTATGAATAAGGCCCACCAGCTGAGTTGCTTACTAATGAGGATACTTAATTTTGCAGTTGAATCTGTGGGTTATCTCCACAATGCTTTGCCAGTCTCACCTGATTTTTTGCAAGAATTTCTAAAATTAAATCAATGCTTTTCACATGAAATATTGAGCTAAACGTAAATATTACGTAGACTGCGGATGTAAAAAAAAAAAAAAAAGATGATTTTTTAATCAAAATTTCGAACGTGCGAGCAATGTTTAAAAAATTTAATAAAATAATAAAAAAAATAACATATTTTTTTGACGATAAAACTTTTTTTTTTATTAAGTTTGGGGATTTTTTTCATGCTTTTTTTTTTTTTCATTGAAAAAGTGTACTGTACTCAGAACGTAAGGTAAAGTTTTAAACTTCTAACTTGTAAACTTTACAAGTTAGAATTTTTATTTATTACAAAACTAAAAGGCTACATCATTCTGTTACAGCATATTCAACTTTTTCAACAATTACATTGCTTTAAAAAGTTTACAGTAAGTACATCTTTTAAAAACCAATGTAATTGTAAAAGGAAGTCTTGGAATGCGAAAATCGTTCCAAGTGGAAAACATACACCAAAATTAAATTTTCACCAGCTGTTTTTATAAAAATGTATTATTATTATTATTTTGCAATGCTACTAAAAATCATTATTAATTAAAATACTTATTAATCGAATTGAACGGGAAACAATGAAAATATCACTCAACTTTGTCAAATATATTTAAAAAAAAAAAGAAAAAAAAAAATTTCGTTGTCAAAGGTGTTTTAAGCAAATTAAATAAGATATGAGTAGTTAAAAAGCATCAACATTAATGTTACACGTGTAAAATTGAACAAAGCTAAAAAAAATCCTGAAAATCTTTTTTTATTCTGAAAGAAATATTTAAAACTTTTTCTGATCTCAACACTTTTTAATACTAATAATGCATAATCTCATAAAACAAATTTTAAACTACATATAAGATCTATGAAATTCTAAAAGAGAAGAATAATAAAAATATACATAAAATACTCTTTTTAAAAGAAACAAGATTCAAAAATCATGTTTGACTTCTTTTTAAACATGTGATGACATACTTTTGAAAATAAAAATAAAGTCTGCTAAAACTTACCGATCCATCTCCTCCTCCATCTCCTTGAGCTTTTCTTGGGTAAGCATTGCCATGATTTGTTTTGAAATTTAATTATTACAGCAAATTATCAAAATAGTTTAAAATAAAATAGCACCAACATGAGAAATGCAACATCACAAACTGCACCCCGCCATAACAATATAATATTCGAGCCTCACGTGAAATAAGAGTTACATAAATAACAAAGGGAGATCACTCTCTTGTGTTCATCCAACTATTGTTTGTTACTGTAAAAAAAAATTACGATTTTAAGTATAAGGGACATAACTCTTTGCTTTACTTATCTGATGACTGCCTAACATGAATTGACTAACTACAAGTTCGGATTTTTTAAAAGAGAAACATTTATAAAATTTTCGATCATTTATCATATATTTCGTATTCTAAACGTATTATATTCGATGCATATTGTATAGTAAATTGTAAAAACTCATACAGAGACACACTGACTCAAAGGAGGTTTATGACAATTTTAAACTTTTATTGGTAAATTACACACTTTTTTATTTGGTGTGCACTAACTAACACGATTCACTTAAACTTTGTTTAGTTCTTAGTATTATTATCTGTGAAATGACAGTATTTTAGAGTGCACCATTTGCGATTTCTTGCCTAATTTTTACCTCATAAATAATTTTACTCGTATTTGCTTATCCACAATTATTTAAAAAATTTTTCCTTTCAAAGTTTTTTCTTGACATTTTCCATGACTGGGCAAGTCAAAAAAAAATTTAAGTTTGTAAAATTTTGTCATTTATGTAAAAAAAATCAGAAAAATAGAATAACTTCATGTTTATGCAATGCAGGAAAGCAAAAATAGAATTTACTTAAAAATACATCAAAACTTTTCATACAATTTAACAATTATATATCAAATAATAATATTTTTTAGTGTCTTGAAATTTAATAATTACTTTGAACTGATAAATATCTTTGTTTTTGTGTCCCTTCTGGACATAGGCAATAATGGCTCTCTGCAGCTTCCTTTCCTTTGTAGCTCTTAGCAATATATGTTTATTTACTATCCCTCCTAATCCCTGTTCTACCCTGTCCTGTAAATGTCAAATTTTCCAAGCCTTCTTTCCTCATTATGCATCTCAAGAATTTCAACTCTCTTTCTGATTCTAAGCATGTGTATTTTTTGTTTCCATTTTCCTTTAAACTTCTGTAGACTTGTCCTTTTCTACCTATCACCCCTAGTAACAGAACAGTCTATACCTTACGCCTACGTATGGAAAACTTTGACCAATAAAAAAGCGTAATAGGCGAATCAACAAATCTCATTGGTTAACGACACAATAATCTGAAAGTTTCACGTGCAAAACAAAATTGCGCCAAAACTACTTTGAGCCAATTTTGGACTTTCAAAAACATATAAAAGAAAATACCGACTGACCAAAAGAGTCAGAGACAAACATCCACAGAGAAATTGCCAACATACTCCACGTCACTCAAAATCACGACTTTACTGCGCAAAAGTACATCAACGCTGACTCACTTGCAATTTAAACTCGACCAACTCTGTGGACATCAAATCGCAAACCTAAAACAACTTTGCTTATCCAAAGTGAACTATACTCACTACATTATTAAGTAAAAATCAACATTCGAACGATTCAGAAATATTACAGTCAAAGGTAGACCACTCTATAAGAACTCATTCCTAAAAGCACTTAACATTGACATTTTTTATATTAAACACAATTCCAGAAAGACTGTAACTGAACATACAAATACAAAAAGAGACATACCGAAACCTCAAATATCATACACTTTGCCATAGTAACATATACCAAAATATCCTGTATATATATTACTTTTAATTGTATATAAATGTTTTGTTGGTTTCTAAATTGAATATGTCTTGTTTTTGATTGTATTTAAAATTTGTTTATTTATTTGTTTGTGGATGCAGAAAGTCACACAACCTACACAAATTCCTTCTGATTCACTCAATTACAATTAATTAATTCTGCACATCCCCAACACTTCCTTTTTGCTCCCATGTTCTGTCCATAGTATTCTCGGCATCATTTTGTAACACTACATCTGTTGCCTCATGTCTCTTCTTCATCTCTAAGGAAATTGTTCAGTATTCATTGCCATATAGGAGGACTGATATTAGATAATGGTTCAGTTTTCTTTTCTTTGTTTTGAATTAAATTGATGAATATCAATTAACTTAAATTTTTTGGTATTAAATAATCACTACTTCTATTGTTGTAAGTTTTTAGATAAAGAATTACCATTATTATATAATTTGCTCTTCAAGCCAGCTTGCTCCCTTGGTTGTTATTCCTTTCATTTTGGTTTCTGTATATTCTGAATTTCAAATCAATCCCTTTATTTATTTTATAGTGGTAGCTTGTTCTTATTCCACTATTCAGTGCTTACAAATATTCACCAATCTTATTCACCATCTTGTTGCTTGTCTGTTTCTTCCATGGAACCAGAGTATATGACTTTTCAGCACTACCAGTTCCATGGATTAAACTTACAACTGCCATGGTACTAGATATATTTTAGTGAACATTTTAATCTACTATGCCATCTGTCAAGAAGTGACTCAAAGATGAATAAGACAATTTTGAAGTAAACAACCGGTTGGGCGTGAGTCTTGTAACTCTACTCCCTAAAAACCTACTTACTATGGAAATCACAGTAGGAACACCAATGAGGCTGTAACTCTGGCACAATGAGGCTGTAGCTCTAGCACAATAAGGCTGTAACTCTAGCACAATAAGGCTGTAGCTCTAGCACAATGAGGCTATGGTTCTATATGCCATAGGAGAATCTACAGGAGTAACAATAATAACAAAAACAAGTCTTAAAATAGTGTCTATTTAATAACTTTCTTTTAAAAAGTGATGGATATCTTTCTTTAAATGGAATGATAGCTTTAAACAAAGATGTGTATTCACTGAAGTGGAGTGGAAAGGAGTTTGAATATGTTATTGTTTTTTTGGCAAACATGGGCCTTTGTGCCCACCAAAAAAACAATGTGTCAAAAGGAGAGTTTTTCCCATGATACTCCTTTTATTTTAACTATTTTCTCTCATCAGTAATATTTATTGTTTTAAAAAGCAATATTTAAAATGGTAATAAAACCTAAACATACATTTATACATCTTCTTTGTTCTTGAGAATTGATATCAGTTTCAGAAAAAGTAAAAACTTCCTTTTATTGACAATTATTAATGAGATACAATATCTCTACTGAGTGGATACAGGGTAAGAAGAGAATTGAATTAACTTATAATTTATGGCAAAAGATAAAAATTATATACCATTTAAAAAATATCAAATTATTAATCTACAAAGTTTCAGCTTTTAAGCATGTATAGCTATTAAGTGACATGCTTTAGAACAGAGCTGAGCATTTTTCTGTTAAATATTTGTGCGTACATTTAAAACTATGTCCATGTACCATCCATAAATAAAAATAATAAATAAATGCAATTTTTTAAATCACCTCACCTATTTCTGGATTATAGAATTCTGTAATTTCACTTTATTTGCTTTCTTCTTTTCTTTTCCTTTTGCTGTGTAGACAAGTTGAATGTTTACAAGACTTAATTTTCACACTCTTAACCTTCTGCATATATTAATGTAGAATGTTTCAAAATATTGAAGAAATGAAAGCATTTTTCAGCCTAAGATTACAAATGGAAAATTCAGTAGTCAAAACACAGTACAAAGATTACTGAAATAGAAATGGAAACAATTTTATCACATATATATCAAGGTTTTGTGGGGGAGTGTAGGAGTCAATAGATTCTTAACAATCTGATATGGATTTCTAGCAATCTGAAAACATAACCACGTGTTTGATGAATGAGATGGAACTGTTGTATTCAGTGAAGTGTTGTCCTTTTCAGGACAACTCTCCTCAGCGACTACAACACTGTCCTTCTCAGGACAATGCTCTTTTCATCCTCTACAGGAACATGCATAAATATTTTTTGTTTAGTGCATTGTAACCTTATTTTATTTGATGTATTTTCTTTAATGAAAATAAACTTGGCAATATATTTTACTCAAGTCTTCATTTTTTTTGTTGTTGTATTCTGTCATTCAATTTTGACATCCATTATACCACCTGTAACACTATTGATAAAAAGAATAACATTTACAAAATGTGCCATGTTTTCAATTTTCACTTGACTAAATTCCACCACTAAGTCTGTATCTGAGCCTTTATAAAGTGATTCAAAGAAAATTAATATATCAAAGCAAAGCTAATCAAACATGTCATCCACTCATTTCTTTTATGTCAATCAGAAAGTGAACATGTACTAAATGCAGAAATATATTTACACTAGCAGAAGTGAATAGATGATGCCTGAGTCAAGAACTGTTGTCATTTGATTTGAAAGGGATGCTCACACTGCTTGCAAGAACTGTACCAATATAATAAATGGATTCTACAATTGTGTAAGCCTTTTCTTTTACCTTCAGATCTGTTTCAGTTCATTTGTTCTGAGCAATCAACTGATCACAAGGAAATTTGCTCCTTACAAAATGATGAGGAAACTTTACAAGAGAGGTCTATTGATTGATTTTTTTCTTTTTACAGCTTATCAGCTCTTTGTGGGTTATTTAAACCTGAAACATATTTGTAACAGGAGGGATCATATCTGCCAAAGTACAAGAATTTATCAAGAAAAATACTAACAACAAAATGTGTTTTAAAAAATTTAAGATTTAATACAAAAAGGTTTTATTCTTATAAAAAAATGTATGAATTTATTAAAAAAATATGAAATATTAAAACAGAGTGAGTGAGACAGACAGATAAGGTCACCCATTGGGATGCACCATAGCATCTACATGCTTCTTGATGCTGTTTATGTATACCATCATAGGAATTTCGGTTGTGTATATATTAGGAAAGACAAGATGCTATGCCATGTGTTTCTGCAGTTTTATAAGAATTAAATCCTATATAATTTTTTTCAACCAATAAAATCCCATTAGAGGGTTTCTTGGATAAACAATTATTATTCGGGCAAATACTGCCAAAATACTTGTG